TCATGCTTGAAAAAAAACCATGAATCATCATCGATTCAGATAAATTACATTTTTTACCACTTAGGTAAGTAGATACCTGTAGATATGTATATATAGTATAATGAAATTATACCTACACAATGTTTGATGCACATATTACCTTTTTTTAAATACGTGTTTAAATTATACGCTGTTTATTCTGTTTAAAATATTGAGACATACCTACCTACATACAAAAACAATTAAAACTACTAATTTCAAATCTCTTCTAGACTCTTATTCGTGCTAGTAGAGCTTAATTCTTAATTTATTCAAGTGAGTAAGCTGTAATACTTATTTATTGTTGTGACTCTACTCTACCTATATAAATAAATAAACAAACAAACAATCAAAGCTTTTTAGTTCCGCATTTCGTTAAGAAGGCGACGAGTTTGAATTTTTATTTTGATTTAAATGAGTTTGAATTTTTATTTTGGAATATAAAGTATTACAGTTACAGTATGTTACAGTTGCTAAATAAACTGGATAACTACTATGTAGGTACCAATTAAACTTAACACGGAACGTATTTTGTACGTATGAAGCAGCGTGTTAATCAGGTCCTTATAGTACCTATCACTATTTTATTAGAGATTTACATAATATTTTGACGATAACGTAGATTACAATTGTCGTTTAGTGTGTTTAGGCTATTTATTTATCTTCAATCACTTGATTTATCTAAGTAAAATACGTATACTCTGATCTATAGTAAATACATGGATATTATTTTGCCAAATTTTATTGTATTGCATTTTGCCTCACATTTTATTGATCTAGTACCGTTTCACTTTACCGAAATATAAATAAACACAAGAATTATAACACGAATAACAATCTTGCCAGTAGTTCATTATTTTGCATTTTATGAATAAAAATTATTAATTACTTTTGAAACTATGTATTAAATGTTTTTGGCATTTTTATGTTTTATCGTTTGTTTCATTCATTTATTTGTTATATACTGGTACACTATGGTAAAATAATAATAACACGGCGTCATGTTTTGTAAGAAGCTTGACATGTGACTGTTATTGAACGTGTTGCTTTGAATCAACTCTGTAATAAGTAACTATGTAGTTGGAAACAATCTAGTTTGCTATCGATATTCAATAATATAGTAGGTAGGTACATTAGATATGGTGGGAGCACTTTGTATTTGTATTTATTTATAAAGTTAGGTTATAATGAAAGACCTACTAACTAAGCTACAACATACCTACGTTATTACAGAACAGAATGCATAGAGGATGGGGAGATGTGTAGTTGATAGAAGTCAATTGAATAATGGCAACCCAGAGGATGTATCATTCGCAGAGGTACTCACGTAGGAGGACGAACTAGATGGAACAATTCTGTGGGCGATGTTGGTACCCGTCTTATAACCATTTTGCGGCCATCCGTGCATCCCATGCCGATAGAGGCCAGGGACCGGACGGAGGGAGCGCCATAGTTGTTGGTGCCGCTGTCGGATCCTTCAGGATAAGTGGCTACTTGTTCGTAAGGCCGCAGACACCGCGCGGATGCTGCACCCGAGGCTGTTGTTACATCACGAATTCTGTGTGTATCACTGAAGCTCTTCACTTTCCGCATTTGCCCAGAGGGCGTTATCATCGGCGCTGGAGCGTGCAGGTCGAGGAGCTTAGAGTTCTCCCTGTCTTGGTTATCATATTGCTCCACGTGGATCGCCACGCTGGGCGCGGCGGCTTCCGACGAATTTTCGATTTTACTCATACTATCACGTCACAGGGTCATGACGCGGTGACTACCGTCGCGTGCGTCGCTGGCGACGCGCGACTGTGAATAATGACCGATCGCGAGAGCGAGCGAGGTCGGCTGAGCTGGCGGACCGACTGCTCTGACTGGTTCGTCAATCGCGGCAAGGCAATTGGTAAACAAAGTGCGACACTAGCATCAGGTGGTGGGAGTATATCACTAGGAGGGGGGAGGGCCGCGCATGCGCCGTGGCGGCCATGAGACGTTGCGCTGCGCTTGCGTTTATGTCAGGGCTGGGCCATAGTAGTTAATTTAACATTGGTAGCAAAAATATAAATTAAGATATTTTAGTTAAATAATACATACCCAACTGTAATGTTCTAGAAATAAATGTTTAAACTTATTCAGTATTAAAGACTTAAAGAATGTAAGCAATTCTATGAAGATTTTGAGATCAACTTTTTACAACTATTTTATAAAATAAAGCTATGGGCGCTAGCATCCATTATTTGTTAGCGGGTATTAGAAATTGCAAGGTGAAAAAACGACAGACTACTTGCAAAGTCACAGAAGTTTTGATGCTTTTTGGAGCTTGAAAGGTTCAAAGAAAATATTCATTATCGTATTCTTCTAAGCTAAACCTGAAATGACATGATCCGAAATGAAAAAAATCACAATACTTCGATAGGATTAAAATATGATAGACTGGTTGTTTTGGGTTGTTTTTCTATTTCTGGTCCTCTTACTGCCCCCTCTTGATGTCTTCAACACCATCAATAAGAGACCGTCATCGCCTACTTCGAGGAAGAGTAAGCTAGCGCTCTCTATACAGTAATTTTTAATAACCAAGCTAAATCGAGTGGGCATCGATAATGAAATATGATTTTGGCACACCTTTTCGCTTTTTCTTCATGCGAGGAGATTGATGACTGTAGTCTGTCGTAAAAGCCTGTCTGTCTGATGAACATGCATATTTTTAAATATATAAACTTTAAGTAAGGCTGGAAAACCCAAAACTTTAACCACGCGAAAAAGGTTTGAGAATATATCACTACTAATATGCTAAGTGTGGGAGAGCCATGCTTCGGCACGAATGGGTCGGCTCGACCGGAGTGATACCAAGGCCTCGCAGAAAACCGACGTGAAAAAACTAGAGTTGTATTTCACCGTGTGAGTGGGGTTACCGGAAGCCCAATGCTTCCCCTCCCCCTATCCCTAAATCTCCAAATCCTTAAAAGGTCGGCAATGCACTCGTAACTCCTCTGTTGCGGGTGTCTATGGGTGGCGCTGATTGCTTACCATCAGGTAATCCGTCTGCTCGTTTGCCGACCAATTACATAAAAAAACTACGCCTGATCAAGACGGAATGATGCTATCAAACTTATGATTAGAAATTTTAAGTCCAAGTTCCTCACGATGTTTTCGTTCACGGTTTGTCAGTGGCGCCAAAATGAAATCCTAGCCCAATTAACCACTTATCGAGGATACATCATAACCATAATTTTTACCTAACTTCTGTGTTCTGTATTCCGCGTATTAACATGTTAAACGCCATGGGGGTCACAGGTGTCCTCCGTTAGCGGAGGATTTGCCTTCAACAGTTTTCTGTTAGCAGTCAAAGGCTTAATACTTGTAACGGAACGGAACGTTACATGATTTTTAAAGTCTTTGTTTGTGCGCGGGTTAGGAACGCGCGGAATGAACGGAAATAAATCGGCCTACTTACAAAAGTATGCTAAACATCCAAAGAAAGCAATAATGAAACTAAGCACTCATACGACATAATAATATATACACCAAGTATGAGCTTTTTGTTTTTGTACGGAACAAGCCCGCCGCATCCTCCCAAAGCCGCTGCAACTCCTGTAAGCCAGGATCTACAGTAGATACAACCATTAAAACACCGGATCGCTAAAGTCCGGCGCGTCTCAGGGACATGAATGACTGTTTTTTTTTTTCAAAAAACGTTGCCCCACGTTTGGATTTTCTCCTGTGTCGTGGGTGCGTTTACAAAGATAAAAATTCATATACACATCACACCTACGCGACACGTCGACTTGGATCCCGCTACGAAATAAATCATTTGGATAACGAAATAAGAAGATATATTATTTGAAGAGAAGAAAAAACGAAATCCACTTCCCTCGGTAAATTTAATGCAGGAGCCAGAATGACTTAAGCCTTAAAGGCACAGAAGAGACGACAACTGGGAGAAGCCCAGTCACCAACACGACCTGTGTGAGCTGCTATAGTTGTTTCCAGTGCCATACCTATTGTATGGCAAAAACGCCTAAACGCACGGAAATTTGTTCTACATTCCACATGGTCCGTGTAATAAACTACACCTGATGAGACATTTAAATTATCTTACATACGAGTATGGGATTGTTTAAATATTCTGAACGAGTAGTCTGGTAAAGTTTCATGTTAGATAGTAATCGTTAGATAGTAAGTAATCAGGATGAGATATTCCCATTCATATGACATGGGCGCGTTATAACTGGTTCCCTTTTCAGTCGCAGCTTTTAATTTAGTTTTTAGTAGTACTGTTAACAATCAGGAGCTCGTGTACTGAATAAAATTAACAAAGAAAAGACATATAATATTATGTATAGCTTAATAGTCTAGGTACTTGTTTGTACTTGAAAAGAAGAAACTACAAGTATAAGTACTTGAAATGTATATATCTAATAGGAAAAAATAGTAAAAGCTTCTTAAATTTTATTGATTCTGGAAAGGTAATTATCGATACGACTATATGAGTTGTGTATCAATGGAATAAGGATATTTTTCGAAATAGTGTTCGACATGAGCGCTATCATGTGCCACGGCTTTGGCTCTGAGCAAGAGAAGGAAAGGGATGGTTTTTTGTCTGATAAGTGTAAAAGTTGCGATTAAACCTATTGAATAATGAAGGTACTTATCCCAGGCTTTTGTGAAACTAAGTAATAGATACACCCAGGCAGTCATTCATAAATAAGATGCGATATAATTTAGCTTCAAAATGGGTACTAAACACAACCCGTGAATAAAACATAACAAGAAAGTATTCCTAGCTCAAAAATAAATTACTTTTACCTAATCACCGATTGATCGATACACTAAGTTTTAGACATTTTGTAGCTAAGTCATAACTCAGTTTTTCATACAAATTTTATAGAAAAGTATCGTTTTTGACATTTGGATAAAAGTATTGAATTTGACTAAAAATAGTTAGCATAAAAAAAGTTAAGCGATGAAAGAGGTTGTAGCTTTTTAGAACTTACCAAATAGGTTCATATTTTTTCTTCTCCATGGCTTGGAAAGTTTTGGACATAATTTTTAGCACTTGTTATGTAACCAGGTACAGATTTATTTTCAGCCCACCGATCGACGGGCACGGTTAACGCTAAATGATGTCGCATCTCAAATAGTAGACCGTGCCCCCTCTACGTCGCTAATTTATATTTCATGCCTCACTGATTAACACTTTAATCTCTTTACACGTTAATTGCCACTAATTCATATCAACTAAGTAAACGTTCTCCATGGCTTTTTACTATTAGTGTGTATCCAGAACCTAATTATGTGTGACGACTTTATTATGGCCAAATATTATTCAATTCTCAGTGTCAGATGTTCTGCAAATTCAACAAGTTCATATGCGTGACGTAGTATTTTTAACAGACTTATCAAAATAGAGGATTTTCCCAATAGGTAGGTACTGGTTGAAAAAAGCATACAACGTATGCGTTGAATTGTAAACCAAAGATCATTTTTTTTAAGAAATACGTTGAGCCGTGTTTGCGTTTACAAACATAAAAATTCACATACACTGTCTACCCAGACACGTAACACAAATTTGTACATCACACAAATTGATGTTGTGTGCGGGAATCTTACCCACGGCACACACAGCAGCTGGTTGCACCGCCACTGCAACAACCGTGCAGTCAAAAGTCGTTGTTTTACCAAATATATTCACATATAGTTTAAAAGTTGCTTTATTTACTGGAGGGGGCCAAGTACCATCCTTGCAGTTTGATTTGGGGTGTGTAGAAAAAGTGGCGCACTGAAACGCCTTACTACATGGACGATACTTTTAATGTTACCAATGCACTTAGGATACGTATTACTTACTATATCTACGTACCACTCAATATCAGGCAAGTCGGTCGGTCATCACATTTGTGCATTTAGTAACTTAATATACAAACGTAATGGAAGTAAAATTTGACTAAGTTATTCAATTGGATAATAAAACTATGTAAGTATTATTAATTATTTATTTATTTATTCTTAAAACTAGGTATACTCGATATTTATTTTACATAAAATTATGGTGATTTCGAATATTTATATGAATATCACAAAATTCGAAGAGCGACGGATGCCACATTAGTAAAAGTAAAACGTAAAAATTAATATAAAATAAAGAATAGGGTGGGGCGCGGCGAGCGCGAGCGAGCGCCCGGCGCGCCCCCGGCCGGCGGTCCTCCGGCGGCAGCACAGAGATAAGGAGAGAGGAAGACCGACACCGCCCGGTGCCGGCGGAGGAGCGCGGCCGCGACTAGCGTACTCAGCGCTGGAACAGCGGGTTGGGGAAGTCGGCCGGGTGCGGCAGCGGCGCCGGCGGCGGGCGAGCGCGTCGCCACGCCACCAGCCAGCACGCCACGGCCGCGGCCACCGCCACTAGCGCCAGCAGCGCCGTCAGCGCGAGCGCCACCGCCAGCCCAGCCGCCGACACGCACACCTCGCCCGCGCCAGCGCCCGCGCCCGCCGCGCCGCCGGCGTCGCGCTGCCGTGCCACCTGCGACGGGTCGCGTCGCTGCAGCGTTAGGATTTGGTTCGACTCGACAGTCACTTCCTCGCGGAACTGGCCTGCGGGGGAACCTGATGGTCTGCTGTCGATGGCTTCTCTTTTACGTCGTTTGCCAAACGCATCAGCACCGCGACAATTTACCTGTGAGTTATATAAATGAACAATTTATATTTATTGACTACAGGAAATAAGTTTTTTCTACTGAGTCTCGTCTAATCAATCGAAAACTTATTATGTAAATATTGATTTGATAACTACAAAACGTAATTGCAAAACCTAATATTAATATTGAGTAAAAATTTTTAAGTTATTAATTTTCTCTTCTTCAAGCATGATTTTCATAAATTAATTAAAGCAAAATGCTAAATTAATATTTGCATACCTTATTGTTTTGTTAGACGTTAGTAAATAGGTACAGTTTGTTTTTCTGTTGATATGTGTAGGTATAATTTTATTATAAAAATGAATTTCTTACCGGTTGACATTTGCCGAAGCAGACGCGTATATTACATTGGAACCGTATGTTATCGCTACTCGGGAATTTGAAAGCGTTGAAAGCGACGCGCAGTACGCTGCCATCTTCGCTCCGCTCCCATTCCCCAAATATTGATGGATCCGTTGCACAACCGTCGGCATCTGTTACCGGATATTCATTCTCCACATTTGTAGCTACTTCGCTTGTCTTCGCTATACAGCTTCGTGCAAAACCACCATAAATATCTGTAAAAACATATTTAGGTAGTAGTACATAGGTAGTTAGGAGGCTACACTATGTTAGCTGTGCCGGTAACAGAGTTGTTAACAAAACGGCTTATAGTTTGCAATGTTTTTTTATTTAACATATAAGCTTGTATAATTAAATAAGTAGATATAGGATAAGACTATTTCTTACTTGAGGGTTGTACATCAACTTGCAAGACTAGATGTTCTCCAATCTCTGCGGAGCTAACTTGGCTGCCCGAGCGAGATACGATTCTCATTGAGCAAGTGGGCGGTGGTCCTGTATTGGCGATGGTGCCCGCTGTTGTCAGCATTGATACATTGAATGCAAGCGTCACATTCTGTTCACCCGTCTGGTATATACATTTGATGTGGAACGCTTTGGCATTTGAAGTCACAAGTTTGGGATGTTTCTGCATAACAAGGACGAAGCTAGCGAGGCCCTGTCAAAAACAAATAATGTTAGCGTTTTGTAAAAGTTTGGTACGAGTTAATTTAAATATAGGTAGGTAATCGAAAACTTACATTCACATGCACTAAGCCACATTCTCCGAAGTGCACGGTAAAGTCAACAATATTTTCCTCATCTTTAGGTGTGTCTACAACTAATCGGCAACGTTCGTCCTTACTGTAACTCTTTACGTACAACACACCGTTAAAGTCCTTGATCTTCAGACTAACCCGAACGCCGTCGGCGAGACAGTGAACCTGATACAAAATAAAGATATTAATTATTTAATTCAAGTATTGCTTATAAACACGTAGAAGTGATTTTTTTTATTTGATTCTTACCTGCATATCAGGTAGAGGGAAATCGGTGCGGTAGACTGGCGGATGGCTCGTGGTGTTGCAGTTTACGCGTGGGTTGCCGGTATAGCCCGCAATGCAGGTGCAGTGTGAGCGGTGACCGATGGCATCACAAGTAGCTGAGATACCACACGGCTCGGCCATACAAGCATCTACACAAGCGCCGTTAATGCAGCGCTCGCGGTCATCACACTGTGCGTCGGCGCGGCAGCCACGCGGCTCGCATCTGTCGCCGCGCGGCACGAAGCCGCGTGACGCGTCGCATACGCAGCGACCACGCGCGTCTAGCACGCGCCCGTCACTGGCGTGGCACGGCACACATTCACCGGTAGAGTCAATTCCTTGTCCTTCTATGCACTCTGGGACCGGTCCTAGGTGGAAGGAAATTTTTATATTATTTACAGTCGTAGAATAATGAGCAAAATCATCCCTGTGGACACACATACAAATATATGTGTATATATTTATGTGGTCTATGATGTATAAATACAGCAATTTTAATATTATATATACATAATTTATGTCACATGTCATAATATGTTCCGCTTGCTTCCTGAATGCAAAACTTTTAAGTTAAATATAAATGGTTTAACTCTGCATTATATTGCTTTTCACGCCTTTTACTTTAGTAGGCAGTAAAACATGGCATGTTTTACTGTCTTTGGAAAGAAATTAGAACAGACCATAGAGAAATAGCGACCCTTTTGTTATTTGTAATTAGCGAGATAGTTGGACGCCTGTACGAAGTAGGGACGGACTTCTGGTTTTGCATAATTTATATTTATTTAAATAGAAAGAGGTAGAAATAAAATTTAGTTATGGACAATAAGATGAAGAATTAAAATACTTACGTCTGTTGGAAGTGCACTCAACTAGAGCATTTCCTTTGTATCCTGGCACGCATTCACATATCATAGTTCTGACTGGTAGGGTGTCCACAACCTTGCATTCGGCGTTGATACCGCAAGGCTTTATTTCCAGACAGGGATTCATACATTTTGCGTTCAGGCAAGCAGTTCCAGGAGGGCAGTCAATATCAGTGATGCATTGCGGCTGCTTAGTGCTTAGGCATCCGTCTTCAGTGCTTTGGTAGCCAGGTGGGCACACACAGTGCAACTCGTGAAGATGCACTCTACACTCAGCAGGATCGTTACAAGATGTTGCATTACAAGGGTTTACACATTTAGCGTTGATGCATGATTTATCTAATGGACAGTCAGAGTCAGATCGGCAGCCAATAGGTGTACACGCGATCGATGGGTTTCCTATAGTACCAATCTTGCACCTGCACGAGGCGCGATGTTCAATGCCATAACATTCTGCTGATTGTCCACATATATCTGAATCCACAGAACAGGCCGGGACGCAACGGCTATTGAAGCAAGTTTCATCGTCTGCACATTGTGAATCAGATTGACAAAGAACCTTGTAGCATCCTGTGCGAGCATCCCCGATGAAACCAGGTTGGCAAGCACAGACCGGTTTGTGATCTTTTATTTGACAATCTGTATTAGGTCCACATTCACAAGGATTTTTACATATTGAAGTTACACAGGCATGGTTTGCTGTGCAGTTATCATCGGCGCTGCAAACGACATCAACGAAAGATGTAACTGGTCGACAGATGCCTCCACCGCTGCTCACGTACCCAGGTGGGCAAGTACACAGCATAGTGCGTACAGGTAGCGTGGGTGATACCTCACATTGGGCTGGCGTGGCGCAGGGCCGTAGCTCTGTGCAGGGGTTGACACACCTTGATGACAAACAAGCCATTCTGGAGGGGCAATCGGCATCCACGTAACATTCTGCGGTGATTTGTGGTCTACATTCGATGTATGGACTTCCTGTATAGCCTTGTTCACATTTACATACAGCGATATGATTTCGCACTAAGCATGTTGCTGCCGTACCACATATATTTTCGCTAAGGCATGGATTTACACATCTATGAGCCCGACATTGTTTATCTTGTGGGCAGTCGCCATTACTTCTGCACTCGATTGCGTGGCAACCTGAATAAACATCGCCTTCGAATCCGGGTCGGCATCTGCACAATGGTAAATTCCTTTCTACGTAGCATTCTGCATTTGGTCCACATGTGCTATTCAAGAAGCAAGGACTAATGCAGTTACCATTGATACATGCTTCATGAGATTGACATTCCGAGTTACTGCGGCAACCAACGATGTGGCATCGTCGGTATGGATCTCCTTCAAATCCTTCGCGACACGAACATATGGGTCTATGGTTCCGTATAAAGCATTCTGCGTTGTCTCCACAATTGCAAGGGTTGCGACAAATTCTGTTGACACAAGATTCGTGGTCGCCACAGTCCTGATCTGATGAGCAACTAAGTGCAGGTAGTTGTGCAGGTTTGCAGTTTCCTCCTTCTTCAGGAATATAACCGTCGGGACAGCGACATATGAGAGTTCGGAACGGTACACTGTCAGAAACAGTACAACGAGCGTTGCCAGTACATGGCTTCAGTTCATTGCAAGCTTCGCGACATTCGTCTCGGAGGCAAGCATAGCCACTAGGACATTCGCTATCCATGCGGCATTCAGGCTCTCCAATAACATCGACCTTTAGGCAGTGGACCAAAGGATCTCCTAGGGGTAGTGCAGGAGGACATTTGCAAGACGCAGCGTGGTTTCGTGCAAAGCATTCAGCGTTGTTGGCACAAGGGCTTCTGCCGTAATTTGAGCAAGCGTTGCGACATGTTCCCTTTACGCAAACGCTATCGTCGTTGCAGTCATTATCAATCTCACACTCGGCTGCTTGACATCTAGTGTAGGGATTTCCAAATGTTCCAGCAGGGCAACGGCAGTTAGGTCGGTGTGCTTTACCGAAGCACTCTGCGCTAATTGCACACGGAGCTTCAACTACGCAAGGGTTGACACAAGCACCATTGTAACATGTATCACTATCTGGACACTCGGAATCGGAAGTACAACCAACTGCGGAAAGAAAAGCTTTATTTAATATTATTCAACAACATATAGCAAACTTAAATATATACACAATTATTTTAATGAACCTACCTTTAGTGCAACCGATGTAAGGGTTGCCCGAGTATCCGCGCTCGCAATAGCAAACAGGATGGTGTCTCACAACAGTGCACTCTGCGTTAGAGCCGCAGGCGCACGGGTCTGCGCACGCTCCATTTACACACGCTTGAGACAACGGACATTCGTGATTTGCTTTACAGCCCACCGGGATAATCGATTTGTCAGAAGCTGAAAAGCAAGTAGATATGTTTATACTCGTATATTGGATCTTGTATTTTATCATAAAAAGTTATTTTGTTATTATAAACACGATACAAAATTATTAACTTACGTGGTGTGCATCGAGTGTAAGCGTCGCCCGAATATCCTCTGGGACACGAGCATTGAGGTTTATGATCTATGACTCTACATAGAGCTCCGAGGCCGCAAGCATCATTGCAAGGGTTTACACAAGAACGGTCAACACATGCTCTCTCCGCACCACATTCTTCATCGTTGTAACATTCGAAGATTGCCGGTTGTCGGGGTACTGTTAGAATAAATACGGAATATTAGAATTGGTCCATTTAATATTTGGTGCTTTTTCTTAAAAACAACTAGTACTTACTTGTGTTACATTCGATTCTTGCATTTCCTGTGTATCCCGGTGCACAAGTACAACGAGATACGTGGTCGATGGATTCGCAAAGAGCATTTTGCCCGCAAGGGTCTGCTCTGCAAGATTCGACACAGCTGCCACGACGGCAAGTTTGACTATTAGCACATTCAGAATCTACTGAGCATTCGGGTTCAGGTGGGGCTCGACAACCATTGTCTGGTGCCACACGGCCACCATCAGGACAAATACAAGCCACGGCTCGTAGTGGAAGCACGTCGACGATCTTACAAGTCAGTCCAGCTTCGCAGGGGTTTCCGAGACAGAGGTCTACGCACCGAGTGTTTACACATGCAAACGGAGCCGTACAATCAGAGTCGGTGGTGCACTCGGTGTAATCATGCAGTGTGCTGCACCCACTGCCGTACGGGTCGCCGCTACGACCGGCCGGGCATGTACAAACGGCGCGGTGATTGCGGGCAGTGCAAAGTGCGTCTGGAGCGCACGACTGGTCGGAGCATGCCGGTTGGCATACACGATTAAGTCGATTACAGATCTGTGTGTCGTCGCAGTCTTCATTGTAGTGACAGATAGCAGATACGCAGGCACGTCGTGGGTCGCCCTGGGTGCCAGGCGGGCAACGGCAGCTCGCAATATGGGCTACTGCCACGCAGTTTGCGTCTCTTCCACACGGCGTACCGAGCGTACATGGGTCCTGACAGTATCCATTGACACAAGTCTTGTCAAATGGACAGTTTTCATCGGATGTACATTCAGCTGTAAAAAAATGTATTATTTAAGTAAATGTATGAGACCGTGTGCTTAATAGGTATATAAGATGGCTAAAGGGTGTTAGTGAGGCTTACGTGTGTAACAGAGTCGGGCAGGGTCGCCGGCAGTGCCGGGAGGACAGTGGCAGCGAGCACGATGTTGCGCGGCGTCGCATGAGGCGCCGGTGCCGCAAGCTCCCGCACACGCTGACACGCATCGTTGTGCGACACAAGCTTCAGCGCTACCGCAGTCTGAGTCTGATGTACATTGCACTCCCGGAACTCCTAAACACAAAATAATAAACGGTAAGTAAATATTGCAGTTATAACTAAATTAATTACATTTAACTGTGGCTAAGTTTATTCGTGTAGCACTAACCGAGTGTACAGGCGACTTCTGGGTTGCCTTGCAGTGGTGGTACACAGGTACAAGAGGCACGATGTTGATTGGCCCTACATTCAGCACCTGAACCACAGGTAATATCTGCGCATGCGCTAACGCACAAGTGATTATTGCAACGCTCCTCAGAACTGCATTCGCTGTCCGCATTACATTCACCTCCTGGGAAAAAATCATCAATTAACTATTTTGTTGTAGATATTATCTTAACGCAGTTTATTTGATTCCTTTCTGAAACGAAGTAAAAGTTACACCTACACATATGTACTAGCATTTACAAATAAAACTATGATGTTGAATAATATCGTTTGTGTATGTAGTGTTGGTGGATCAATTATATTGACCGACATAAGTGAGTGCAATAATAAGTGAAAGGAAGTCGTAATGCTGTATATATTTACATGCACAGGTGTAATGTACACAGTGACAGTGCATTTCTTATTAGATGTTATCACTCTGATCTGTTGTACCACACCTACCGTAGCATCAGTAATTTTTGCCCACAATTTTATAATTACAAATATCTTTCTGCAACATCTGTAAATAGGTCTTCATAGCAATAATGATTTAAAAGATTAATTAATTAATAGCATAGGTACTTTTCGTTAATATAATATGTGTAACAATTTATATTACTTACTTGGGTTGCATTGTACTGAGGCATCACCAGTAAGAGGTTTTGGACATTCACAAACGAGCGTACGGAACGGCAATGTATTTGCAACTCTACATTCTGCTCGGACGCCGCAAGATGTCGGTTCGCAAGGGTTTCTGCAAGTACCTTGCAAGCATGCTAGGTTCGGTCCACATTCGCCGTCAACTACACATTGTCCTTCGTCTAAAACTGAAAAAGAAATATGTATGTTAGAAATTAAATTTTGCGCTGAAACTGTTTCTTCAACTACGCCAAGATAATCTATACTAATATTACAAAGAGGTAAAAGTAAGTTTGTATGTAAGGGTTAATATTTGGAACCGCTGGTCGGATTTCTAAAAGAATTTCTCTGAGAGATAGCTACAATGCTCCTGGGCGCTAGATGCTACAACTAACATCACCCTACGACTAATAGGAGCCGAACAGTGGGCGAAATCGCGCGGCAGTGGCTAGTAATGAAATATATTATGAAGTAAAAATTAAAGCTACGTACCTTGTCGGCATTCAATCTTAGGATTGCCTTGGGTGCCTCTAGGACACTCACATGTTGGTACATGCCGAACCACTGAGCAGATTGCACCTTGAGCACACGCTCCGAGACATGGATCCTTACAAGTGCCGCGAGAGCAAGCTAACCACGAGGAACAATCGTCGTCTACAAGACATTCGGCTCTGCGACATCCAGTCCATGGGTTGCCGTGCGCGCCAGCGTTACATTCACACGAAGCAGTGTGGCCGCGTGCGACACAGTGTGCCTCCGTTCCGCAACGAATACGTAGGCACACCTTCACACAAGAACCGCCTTCGCAGCTCTCATCATCCGGGCAGTCGTTGTTGCTGTGGCATTGTACTAAAACAAAATTAAAATATATTTTTACTAACGTGATATTTACGTATTTAAGGGTAAAAAATATAATTTGAAGACTATAGCAAGTCTGCAAATTATATTTTTTCTTAGGAAAAGGATATAAAGAATATAAAGAAGTATTATCTAATCCAGTATAATATAATCCAGTATTATCTAATTCTTTTAGTGTATCGGTATTTTTTCTCCGTTTCTATACTTAGTCTATTGTTTTCATTTAGCCAAAAAAGGGATGTGTTGGTATAGATACTACCTGAAGTTCTTTGTAATATAACTGCGGTTGTAAATAAATCATATAAAATACCTGAATAACATCCTGTGTATCCGTCGCCCTCGTATCCCGGAAGGCACGTGCATAATGCTCTATGTTGTTTCGCAATGCACCGAGCGTTGAGTCCGCAGTTGTTAGGGCCGCACACGGGCGAGCAGCGCGAGTCAACGCACGCGGCATTGTCAGCACACTGGTCATCGGATATGCATTCAGGAGCCGGCGGCTGTGATGAGATGAGGCTGCACCGCACCAGCGGAGAGCCTGTATATCCAGGTGGGCATGAACAAACCGGGGAATGTCGCACGCCTGTGCAGATCGCGTTGAGACCACACGCATTAATACATGGGTCAGTGCATTTTCTGTTGATACACGCGCGGTCACCAGAGCAGTCATCGTTGACGGTACATTCATAATATGTGCATATTCCATTGCGGCAGGTAGCATGTGGACCACAAGGGTTGGGATCACACGGGTCGTGGGCCTTTGTTGGTGTTTCTAAAATAATAATGTACAATTATATCATCATATTATATAATTATAGTTATCCACGTTTATTAGATTTAATATATGTTTTTCTTTACTAAAAGATATACTTAAATTCAGTTAATATGTTAAGCAAAATAGCGAATGCTATTTATTGAAATTAAATAAATATTTCTTTTTATTGAATGCAAACAACATTTCATTGAATGCTTTATGGCAACGCATGTCAAAAATAAGAACGGATACCAACCTATGCAAGCAACAAACGGATCGCCAGTAGTGGACGGTGGACACCAGCAGATAGGTGCATGATTGAAGACGCGACACATGGCAGCGTTACCACACGTTCCAGGGCATGGATCGATACACTTGTTGCGCACGCAGGCTCGATCACGGGGACACTCGGAGCTGACCACGCACTCGGGTCTGCATCCTGTGGTGGCTGCGTCTCCGCTTGTGCCGCTGGGACACGTGCACATGGCACTGTCACCGACAACTGAACACAATGCGCCGGGACCACATGGAGACGGCGTGCACGGTGGTTCTGTTAACAATTTCATGTTTTATAAATATATAATAATAATAATAGGTACAATTTGTTTAGTAAAAGATTTACTTACGGCTAATTTCTGTATAACATCTTTCAAATGCGTTTCCTTTAGTTCCAGGTGGGCATGAACATAAAGGTATATGATTGACGGTTTCACAGTCTGCTCCTACACCACAAGTGCCCTGGCAAGGGTCGCGGCAGTGTGATCGTATGCAAGCTTTAGTAGGCGAGCAATCAGAATCCGCTAGACATTCAGGTCTGCATCCGGTATTTGGATCTCCGCGTAATCCAGGCTCACATTCACAAGACGCGCCTGTTCCTTTGACTCGGCACAAAGCGCCAGGTCCACAGGGCGATGGCACGCAGGGATCGTTTGGCTGTTTAGCTGTAATATGGAACACAATAATTTTATATTTTGCCTTAAAATTTTGCTATGAAGCAAATAAGGAAAGCTCATCATTAAGCTAAAATCTTTCGTCACTTAAAGAGGAAAACGGCGCACTTGGTTTCGCTAGTAAAACCCATGCCTAAGCTTTAAAAGCGAAAACGCAAGATTGCCGAATCCCACCTCCCTATTTACTTTGATTGAAATAACTAATTGATGCATAATAATTGAAAGCAATCTTCCGTTTGATCTAATCTGTCTTACGAATATTTTCGATGGGTCGACACGCTGTAAGAGGATTGCCGGTGGTGGAGGATGGACAAGTACAGCGCGGCTCGTGAGCTACAGGCACGCACTGAGCACCGTGGCCGCACGCTCCGGGACAGGGATCTATGCAACGTCTATTAATGCAAGTTAGATGCCATTCGCAGTCACTAGACTCCAGACATTCGTAACGACAGAACGGAGGCGCCCCGACGAAGCCTGCGCGGCAACGACAACGGCTGTCTACGCAGTCTGCATTCGGCCCACAATCGGAACATGGTGAATTCTGTTTAGGCTCAGACTCGAGGGCTGAAACAAATGAAAGCGCACGTGAAATAATAACGATCATGTCAGGACATATGGCTTCCTAGGCGCCCACGGTAGGCGCCAATACAACATTATTAGAAATCACATACCTGGTACACAACGAATGAACGGATCACCGACGTAGCCAGGAGGACATGTGCAAATTGGAGAATGCTTTGTTGTTCGACAAACAGCATGAGCACCACATGAGCCAGGACAAGGGTCTCGGCACTTGCCAGCGCGACATGCCAGCGAGCTAGGACAGTCCGATGAGCTGTGGCACTCAGGTCGGCAACTGGGCGGCTCGTCTTGCATGGGCGGTCGGCACGAACAATGAGCCACTGTACCCTGTGCACGACACACGCTATTCGGTCCGCATGGGTTCGGTGAACACGGTTCCGTTTCCACTGGCGCTGTCAATATAATTAACAGATTAGAACGAGACAATAAGAGACATAACTTTTAATCGCAAAATATATGTAAGTATATGTACTATTGCACATTATGTTGTGTGTGTGTGTGTATTGTGCAGCACGTGAAATACATACCTATTACACGTCGACATGCTATAAATGCGTCTCCTTGTAAAGGTGCGGGACACTCGCATATAGCTATATGATTGTAGACATTACACACTGCATCAAGGCCACATGCGTTCTTACATGGATCGACACATTTGTAGTTTACGCAAGCTTGCTGTTTATCACAATCGCTATCGATGGTACATTCGGGTCGACATTCAATCGCAGGATTTCCGTGATATCCCGGGATACAGGAACAAGTTCCATTGCTACAAATTGCATTACTTCCACAGGGATTTCGCGCGCAAGGATCTACTGATGTTGGTGTTTGTGGTTCTGTAATAAATGTATTTATTAAAGCATAAGAAAACAATACGTTGTTAATTTCCCGACGGGATAGAGGTACACAAAGGTTTTTAATTGGTTGCCATGTCGATAAGTTTAACATGAGCTTTCAAAAATATTTTTATTATGTTATTTATACGATATGCGTGTACGTACCATCAAACTGGTAGCATCCGACGAAAGAATTACCACGATACCCTCTCAAACATGTGCAAATAGCAAGGTGATTCATTGCACGGCACTCAGTATTTGAGCCACACGATCCAATGCAAGGGTCAACACATCTCTCCCTGACACACGCTTTGTCATTAGCACAGTCCTCGTTGATGGCGCACTCTGGCGCACATCGAGGTGGAGCTCCGAAGTAACCTTCCTTGCAACTGCATATAGCTGAACCAGCGGAATCTCTGCACGTAGAGAATGGACCGCAAGGGTTGGGTTCGCAAGGAGATTTTACTTGCGGTGGTAATACTTTTTCCTTCGAGCATCTAATGAAAGCATCTCCTTCGAAACCTGGTAAACAAGTGCAGTAGGGGCTATGGTGTAGGACCCGACACTGTGCATTTTCTCCACATGCTCCAATGCATGGATCAACACATTTTTTCTTAACGCATGCTTTGTTCAAAGGACATTCTGAACTCATTAAACATTCTGGTCTGCAGTTTGGAGGGTTTCCAATATACTCCTGAAGGCAAGAACATATCGCTTTGTTGTTAATAGCGTTGCAGGTGCTGTATGGTCCACATGGAGACGGGTTACAAGGGTTCATTGGTGTTTCTGAAAAATAAAATATAAAAATGCAAACTGAGTAAATAATACTCGCTAAAATATTACGCCTGTTTTATTTTACCACAATATTGTAAGTAGAGTTGTAATTAAAATCGGTATTTATAATATTATTGTTTAAAGGTCATTTTGAATTAAAGGAACCATACTCAATGATAAAAATTTTACCTTCTCTGAGAATACACCTGTCATGTGGATCTCCCACATATCCAGCTATACAAGCGCAGTTAGGAATATGATTGATCATTTGACATTGGGAATTAATTCCACATAATCCAGGACATGGATCTTGACACCTGTTATTAATACACGCAAGATTTTCGGGGCAATCAGAATTGAGAACACATTCTGGCCTACAACCTTCGTAGGGATTTCCGAAATAACCCGTAACACATGTACAACTGCCAGCGTTGTTACGCTCCTGGCATACGGCGTTTGGTCCGCAAGGATTAGGCAGGCATGGTGCGATTGGTTGTGATGGTACAACAGCTGGAATTGACACTTTGGTAGGAGTACATTGATAGAATGAGTCTCCTTCATATCCTGGTTTGCACGCACATTGTGGAGAATGGCTGATGACTCGACATTCTGTGTTAAGACCGCAGGCACCCACACAAGGATCAGCGCATTTGTTGTTAATACATGCTCGGTCAAAGTTACATTCACTATTCGTTGTACATTCTGGGCGACAATATGGCGGTTGTCCCATATATCCGGACTGACAAGAACACGTCGGTAAATCATTTACTGCTCGACACACAGAGTTAGGACCACATGGTGATGGTTCACACGGTGCTCTCTTTGGTGGTGGTTCATCTAATAAAGAAACATAAAAATAAATAAGTTAAATTAATGGAAATTGATTTTCTTATATGAGTAGTACGGTTGATGCTAACATTAGGCTGCAATATTAGACTCTCTTCTTTACAAATTATTTTATGAATCATGTATAAATGACATATCCAGGTACTTTAAAATGCAATAATACGTTACAAGAAACGTTGGTTGCAAGGCAATACTAATTAATATATACTTAGAATACAGTAAATTTACAAACCTTGAATGACTGTACAGTGAGTAAATGGATCTCCGGTGTAACCATTTCTGCAGTAACAAATAGGCTTGTGGTTATGCACACGACATTCCGCATGTAAACCGCAAGATCCTTGACAAGGATTAGTACATTTTTGATTGGAACATGCCATAACACTGGTGCAGTCAGAATCAACCAGACATTCCGGCCTGCATGATGGGGGCACACCGATGTAGCCAATAAGACAAGAGCACATTGCTTGTCCTTGTACCGCTCGACATATGCTATATGGACCACATGGAGTCGGATGGCAGGGATCTTTCTCTTCGTTTATGACTGAAAAATACGCGTTACTTTTAGTATCAAGAACAATTTTAAGAAACAATCTATTTTATTCAGCTAATTTACTAGTGTTACCTGTTATTGGTGTGCATGAAAAGAATGCATTTCCACTGGTATTTGATGGACAACTACACATTGGAATATGATTATACACTTCACACACTGCTCCCTGTCCGCATAGATTTGTGCAAGGGTTGACACATTTATTATTGACACACGTTGCACTCGGAGGACAGTCAGCATTGTGTGTGCATTCTGGACGACAACTTAAGTATGGATTTCCAAAGAAATCAGGCCTACACGTGCATTGCCCATCGTTACAATCGGCATTTGCTCCACAAGGGCTTGGGTTGCATTTATCGTAAACTGCAGGCACGGGTTCTGAAAAGACGGTTAATTACGAATTATATTACACCAGATATAAATAAAATACACAATTAAGTATTATACAATTAAGTAATATAAAAGATTACCAATTTTTTCTTTAACATGGCAACTTTCAAAGGGATTTCCGGTATAGCCCTCTTTGCAGCTACAAATAGCAGCATGTTGATAAACTTGACATTCTGTTTGAAGGCCACATGAGCCCAGGCAAGGGTCGCGGCATTTCTGGTTAATGCAAGCTTTAGTGCTTGGACAGTCCGAGTTGACAGTACATTCTGCTCGACAGTTCGGAGGTGCACCGACATAGTTCTCCAAGCAAGAACATGACGATATGCGATTTACAACTTGACATTGAGAGTTTGGCCCACATGGTGATGGCACACACGGGTTTTGATCATGTAGTGGAACTGATACCTCTTTTACAATAGCACATTTAACAAATGGATCTCCTTCAAAGCCTCTTCTACAAGAACATATTGGTGCGTGGTTTACTACTCTACATTCCGCTTCTTGTCCACATGAACCAATACATGGGTCTAAACATTTCTGTCTGATGCAGCTCTTAGTGTTATCACACTCTGAGTTTACAGTACATTCAGGTCGGCAATTGGGTGGAGCTCCATAGAAATCTGGCATACACGAGCATGTCGCGAGGCCTTTGTTGTCTTTACAGATGGAATTACTTCCACATGGATTAGGTATACATGGATTTTGAGGTACCGGTGCTGTAAGAAAACGTGACGATAAATAACATAAATCGAAGACAAAATGCTATGCATTGTATGATTTTATCGCTTATTTTAGAGATATCGAAAGAAAGACCGAATTAAATACAGTGTATATACTTACTTGGCTCGTTTATAATAATGTGACAGAAGCTGTAGGGATTGCCAGTGTACCCTGGAGCACAGTTGCATGATGGAACATGATTTATTACTTGACACAAAGCCGTAGAGCCGCAAACGCCCGGACAAGGATCTTCACATTTGTTTCTTAGACAAGCTTTATTGTAAGGGCAG